GGCGTCAGAGATATTGAACATTAATTAATAAATCGTGAAGCCGCTGTTACCTGAGGGTCCTGCTTCATCTGGGCAACCAGTTTCTGCAGAAGAAAACAGACAGTCAGTGACACCTGCTGGACACAGCGAGGAACTGCACCCACATCTGTTATTATCTGTTATTGATGATCTGTTAATGAGTTTATCTGTTATTACCTGTTATTATCTGTTATATCTATTATTGATTATCTGTTATTGATTATCTATTAATGAGTTTATCTGTTATTGATTATCTGTTATTGATTACCTGTTATTGATTATCTGTTCTTTATGTGGACTGTTGCTGTTAAGGGATTTCTGTCTCAGGGTTTCTTAAGATTAATATGACTGAATTTTTAAACCTTTTTTACGTATTGGCAACTAAATCATTATCAATATCAATTCCCGCTCTTTTTAATGCACCATTCTCCAGAATAAAGGACAGCACTCACTCACTCACTCACTCACAGATCAGATGAGTCTCAGGTTGATTACAGGTCAGCGTTTATGAGGCTCTTCAGTGTGAGTGATAATTAACACTTTTATTCACAGTTTGTTCAGGAAGTCACACAAACACTCACTTCCTGTTAGAGCGGACTGGTTCTTTAATAACTGCTCATTATTGTATTATCCCACGGAGCAGTTAGTGGACACATAATCCTGTTTAATCTCTAATTTTACTGACGTTTATCATAAATCGGATTTTCTGCTGTGCTCAGACTCACATTATCTCCAGGAGGCTCCAAGGAGAACCTCTGAATTCATTAGCTTTATCTTTTCATTAGAGTTTGTATAGTGGTGTTTAATAACTCCACATATCTTATTTACACATATATCCTGCACTGTATAGTGTTTTTAAAGTATTCCACATTAAAGAGGAACATTTAGGGTAAAAAACTCTTTAATAAAAACGATAGAATTTGCCCTTTAAAGGCTAAACTAATATATTTGTATCCGTCTGATTGTGGACACGCTCACTGGTCGGGGTATCGGGGATATTTTAGCCTAAAACACAGACGAGTTGAAACCAAGAGCAGCCAATGAGAGCAGCTCACAGGTCGACACTGTCAGCAGTGCAGTTACTGACGTTGTTTCACTTCCAGTGTCTGACTGAGGCTGATTTTTAGAAATGATGCTTAAAGCTGTGTGCTGTGTATTTCCTGCTCTGTGTTACAGAGGGAATATTAACAGATTATTAACAGAAGGAGAAATATGGGACTGATATGGGATCAGCAGACACTCATCAGACTCTTCTCTCAGGAGTAACTGTATTACTTTACCAATGACTGCATATCAGTGATTAGTTACCAGCTAACTAACTAATAACTAACTTATTAACCCTCTGCTGACAGATGTGTGACTTTAGTGCCACTGTGGGACAATGAATCCAGTTATTAGTTATTAATATTAGCGAGTTAAACTAATGATTAAAGCCCCCCCGCTGGTTTTAAGAGTCCTCTTTGTCCCCTTCAGAAGTTCCAGTCCAACAGTTGGTTCCTATATGACAGGATGTGTCTGCAGACGGACTCCTGGAACCTCAGCGTTACCTGATGGATCTGGATCTCCACCTTCAGAGCCTCCTGTAACGTCTGTAGTTCCATCATGGATCCAGTCAGTCTGCCAGCCGATCGATCAGCCTGCACACACACACACGCACACACACAGATCAGCAGAAATCACAGCTGTTGTCATAGCAACGGGAGGCACAGCCATATAAGGACCTCCTGTGTGATGCTGCTAATAATACGTCAAGGTCAAACAAGGTGACAGGAAGTCAGACGCAGTAAATACACAGCAGGTTTATTGTTGTTGTTGTTGTTGTTGTTGTTGTTTACCTTAACACCGTCTCCAGTAGGAAAACCATCCAACTGAAGCATTAAAGTGCCGCTGCAGACAAAACAAACACATTGCCATCATTAATAAACAGGTTGTATGGAAGCAGAATTCAGCTGTAAACACACTGAATGTTACTAAAGTAAAAATAGAAATGATTTTAATACGTTATTTATTTATATACACACCGTACAGGAGAACTTATTGTTACTGAAACAGGTTTAAAACAGAATATCTCCGGTTTGTGATGTTTGTGGACTGTAAATAAAATACATGTTTATATTTGTTTATGTTTATAACAGTTATCAATAAATACATTACTAAAACTTCATATAATAATAGAATTATAATACATATTATGTATAACTTTTATTACTCAATTAAAGGTAACATGCGTCTTTACTAACAGGTGAATAAGTATCTTTAATAAAATAAACTTTCTGTTCAATGACTTCATTATTACTGAATTTACAGCGTAAATGTAACTTTACTTAACTTTAAAACACTATCATTATTATTATTCACTGAAAGAACTAACACTGTAATAATGTGTCTTTATTAAAAGGTTCATGTGTCTGAAATAAATCCAACAGAAAAATCTAAAAAGTGACTTTATTATTATTAAATGAATTCTTTATTACTGACTGAAATGTGATATTTGATATTTTACTAACAGGGAAAATCAAAGAGGTTGAAAGTTAATATTAATATTATTAACATAGTGAATGTAACTTCTTATGAGTATTTAAATCATAAAAACATTTCACTCTTAAACTCTTAAAACAGATTATGTAATTTTATGATTAAATGTAATTATTTTTATTATGATCAAACTAAACCTTTAACTTTACTGTAATATTTACAATTATTCTGTTTATTATTAAATTATTAATACGATAGAGGTTATGGCCAACTTTAATTCAGACTCACCACCTGGCTGTGGGACTGGACTCCACCCCTCTGTGCTGCCCTGTAACACATAACAAACACACACTGTTACAAACACAGACTTTAGCATCGAAACATTAATAAGAAAACTGTTTAACATGAACTCATCTCCAGCTCTACTTTCCACTGGAACAAGGCTGAAGTTGTATTTGGTGTTCTATAAAGTTTATATGATCAGTATTTCTACGCCTTGTTGTTATTTACAGGATGTAAGTTCTGATCTCAGTTCCTGGTACGACGGCATTGTTCATTTTACTTTAACAACTTATCCGTACTACAGCTGCAACAGTTACTCCATTACTTTTATAATGAATGTATTGTTTTATTCTGAACACTTTGAGCTGTTACAACAAACCTGTCTTACTATTTTCTGACTTTTTAAAGACAAAATTCAATGAGCAAATAATCTGATTATTGAAATAAAAATACAAATAAATGTTTGATTTATACCAAATTCTACTTCCCTTCCAGCTCATTGAAACGTTTTCTATAACTTTATATCAGAGTTTCTTTATAAAGTTTGATTGTGGTATTTTACATTAAACTGAACAGGAAATCATTTCTTTCATTGGAACTTTAACTTATAGACAGTTTGGCTCAATGTAACACCGAAGAAGAAGAACTCAGATAATAAAAGTACATTAACATAAAATACTCCATTACAATCGTACTTAAGTAAAAGTATAACAGTATTCTGAGCTCAGTAAAAGTACTCAGTTACTCTGTAACTGTGTGAACTTTATACAGAAGCAGCAGGTTGTTTTCTGTCACTGTTGTTCTATTAAATTTATATTAAAATATGGTTCTATTGACCTTCACACTGTCACGTTAACAGTTAAATGGGTTCATATTAATAACTAATCTTCAGTGGATAAAGTTATTACAGTATTCTGCAAAAGGCCTAAACTTTAATTCTGGTTGAAACTGAGTTATTGTCACTTTTTGAGGATTGAAAAAACAACATTCTGCTTCCTAACACATAAACTGAGTGAATGTTGTTGTTGTTTGGTAAATATAATAGCTATAGGTCATTCTTTATATATATAATCTTTGTTATAACTTCCACAAAGCTCCAGTAAACCGGAGCAGAACCGCTGAATATCAGAACCAGCTCTCTGTCTCACTGCACTCAATTCAACTGAATCACTTCATAATGAACTGATCTCCGCCGGGATCAATCAGCTGTTTCTGGTTCTGGTTCTGAAACCAAAGAACCAGAGAACCAAAGAACCAGAGAATCAAAGAACCAGAGAACCAAAGAACCAAAGAACCAGAGAACCAAAGAACCAGAGAACCAGAGAACCAAAGAACCAAAGAACCAGAGA